AGGGAGAGCTTGGGGGAATGGGAGGGTGGATGGAGATGGAGGAAGGGCGGATATAGGAGCTGGGAAGAAGATATCTACATTAAGGGAGCCATTTTAGGGTTGGCAAGAGACTTGTTTCTAGCGGGGATCCCAGGTGTCCACAGGGATGTCCCCAGCTAGGTCCTTGGGCAACAGAGGAGAGGATGCCTGAACTGTCCTTGCCCCAGTATCACACCGACGTTTATCTTGAATATTACCATAGAATCTTCATCTGGCGACAACATTGAGATAGAGACAGAGAACCTCATCAGAACAAAGGACTGAGCTCCCAAGGTCCAGTTGAAGGGCAGAAGGAGGGAGAAGACGAACAAGGAAGTCAGGACCGTGAGGGGTTGGTCCACCCTCTGAGGCAGTTGCCTGTTCTAATGGGAGCTCACAAAATCCAGCTGGACCGGGACTGAACGAGCATGTGATCAAACCAGACTCTCTGATTGGGGCTGACAATGGGGGCTGACTGAGAAGCTATTGATAAAGGCACTGGGACTTGTTTTTACTGCGTGTACTAGTGTTTTGGGTCGCTAGTCATTTGGATGTACAGCTTCCTAGGCCTGGATGTAGGGGGAGGGCCTTGGACTTTCCACAAGGCAGGGTTCCCTGCCCTCTCTCAAGCAGGGAGGGGGAGGGAGCAGGGTGAGTGGAGGAGTGGGAGGGGAATGGGAGGAAGTGTACATTTTTGAATGGAAAAATAAAAATAACATTTTTTTAAAAAGCAGTGGTAGCAGTGTGCCCACTGTCTTTCTTAAGGCTCCTGCTTCTGGCTGCTAGACCCTGTTCCTGGTTGTGCAGCGGACTGTTGTCTAGGACAGTGATCTGTAAGTTTTCCCCTTAAATAAATAACCCTTTTATTAATCATAATTCTACACTAGTGTGGGGTTGTCTTGTGACTTACCTCATCACTGATGGGAGTGCAAATTGATACAGCGACTTTGGAAATCAGTATAGAGATTTTTTTGGGCAATTAGGAAACAATCTATCTCAAGACCCAGCAATATCACTTTGGGGCATATACCCAAAGACACCTCAATCATACCTAAGGTACATATGCTCAATTATGTTCATAGCAGCATTATTCATAATAGCCAGAACCTGGAAATAACCTAGATGCCCCTCAACTGAAGAATGGATAAAGAAAATGTGGTACAGTTACACAATGGTGTACTACTCAGTGATAAAAAATAATGATATCTTTAAATTTTTAGGCAAATGGATGGATCTAGAAAAATCCATATTGAGTGAGGCAACCCAGACACAGTAAGACAAATATAATATGTAGTCACTCATAAGGGGCTTTTAGACATAAAGCAAGAAAACAAACAAACAAACAAACAAACAACTAGCCCAGAGTCCACCAGCCCAGAGAACGCAGACTACAAAGAGGACCCTAGAAGAGACATACATGGATCTAATGTACATGGAACGTAGATAAAGACAAGATCTTCTGAGTAAATTGGGAGCATGTGGGTCACAGGAGAGTGTAGAAGGGGAACAGGGAGGAAAGAAGGGAAGTGGAGAAAAATGAATAACAATAAAAACAAGGAAGGTTGAAACATTGCCTGAGGAGCTTATGTGTTCCTTGTTGAATGCTTTCAGCAAACTAGCTCAGGCAAATTTTCTCCCATTTTAACGTTTCTCCTAATAAAGTAGTTTATTTTATTGAAAAGAAAGTTCTACAAGAATCCTTCTAAAGTTATTCAAAACAAAGCCAAAAAACCACATAAAATAAACAAACAAACAAACAAAAAAAACCCAATGACCATAGAAATAGGAGCACTTCAAAACTCCTTCTAAGAAGCCAGTACAACTCTAACATGTAAACTAATAAACACACACACACATGAACCACACAACAAAACAAAAATTTATCAAAAGCTACATGCCAATTTCCCTGATGAACATAGATGAAAAAAATTCTTAAGAAACATGCAGTGATATTTCACTTGTACATTATTAAATAAAGCAAGCCTGAACATCAGAGAGTTAAACCCCTAGTCATCCTTACAGGACCACTCCCACAGGGTATTTAAGTGGGCTCCCAGAGGAGGAACACGTGGTCCCAGATTTGGCATGTGCCCCCCGGTTTTCTGTCTCCCCTGCCATGCTTTCGGCCACCTGAGAGTGCAGCATTTAATAAATCATGGGCGTTTTAATTCAGTTTGTTTTGACCTAATTGGATTTCTTTGCGCCGGCCTTACGATTTTTTCCGAACAGTAAGAGCCAGTGGCTGACCGTTTTGCTTTTCTGACTTTCAGGTTGAACCTCATTATCTGTCTCTGTGGTTTTAATAATTGTGTTACATAAATGTAAATAACCAGTTATTTGGAAGAAAGTGACCAGCATAGGGAGTGGCACAATAAGGAGGTATGGTTTATTTTGGATGAAATGTGTCACTGTGGATGTGGGCTTTGAGGTCTCTTATGCTCAAGCTGTGTCCATGTGAACACAGACTCCTACTGCCTGCAGATCAAGATGTAGAATTCTCAACACCTTCTCCACATATTTGACTGAATGCCACCATCTCCCACCATGATGATAACAAACTGAACCTCTGACAATTTTAAGGCAGCCCCAATTAAATGATCATATGTATAAGAGTTGCCTTGGTCATATTGTCTCTTTACAGCAACAGAAACCCTAAGACTCGATATAAACTAATTAAGATAATAAATCATATAAATGGGTCTAAAGAAAAATTACATGATTATCTCAGTAGATGTATAAAAAGTCTTTGACAAAACTCAAAATTCCTTCATGAGAAAAGTTGTACAGAGAACAATATCAGAGGGACCATACTTCAACACAATGAATGCTCTTTATAACAAACACACAGTCAACACTTTCCTAAATGGAGAAAGACCTCAAAGTAATCCTATTAAAATCACGAATAAGATATGGTTGTCCACTAATCTCACTCCTTTACTTTCTTTAAAATATTTTTTTCTCATTTTACTTTTTATTCTATGTGTAATTATGTTTTGCCTGTATACATGTCTGTGCAGTGCCCTCAAAGGTCAGAAGAGGTTGTCAGATACCCGGGGAACTGAACTTACAGACAATTGTGAGCTGTCATGTGTGTGCTGGGAATTAAATCCAGGTTTTCTGAAAGAACAGCCGGTGGTCTCAAATACAGAGATACTTTTCCAGCACTCCCAATTTTTTTTTTTTTTTCAATATAGTGCTCAAAGCAGTAGCTGGAGCAATAAGAGAAGGAAATTAAATGGAAACAAGTAGGAAAAGAAGTCAAATTTTCTCTATTTACACATGCTATGACCTTATACATGTCTTTGTTTCACTTGAAGAAGCTCATCTCACCTGAGCAGTGAATTAAGACTTTCAGCTGGAGGCCACCTTGTTCCAGGAGCTTCCTAATTGGGGTTGTACCTACTTACCCTGATACCCTTCTCCAGTCTTATAGAGAGCATGATGCTCTTGCGGTGCTGCAGTGAAAGGGTCCTGCTCTGGGACCATGAAGTTTACACGCCTATGCTGGTGTACTCTACTCTGTTGTGTGAGTCTCCAGTTCTTTTGAGCTGTAGTTCCCTCATATAGGACTCTGACCTCATGTCCCACAGGGATAGGTAGCATCCTACAATGTAGTTCAGATTGTCTCAAGCTCAGATTCTTCCTGATTAATTTCACCTGTTCCGGTATTATAGGACTATGTCCACAACCAGTTAATAATCTTATATTTGAAGACTTAAGATTTTCGTATTGTTGGATCCAAGACTTCAAGGTGGGTATAGTGTCTAAGAGACAGAGAGATTCTGACAAACTTCTTGGGGGCTGAGGTACGTATTTCAAATAATAGCTGACAGAACCTAAGTGGCAATTGTGAGCTAGGGAGGAAGGTGAGACACAGTTCTGATACACAATGAAATATGAGCACGGAAGCTTGTGATTGAGTGAAATTGTTTCAGGGGAACAACTTGGAAGCTTGGAATAGTGATGACAAGAACTGGGAGAACAATATGGCTGGTAACCTCTAGGAGGAACATTTTTAGGGAGAGAGATATGATCAGGAGAATATCTGCTATAATATTATCAGTGGAGTCCTCTATAAGGCCCAGGTGCAAGGGCCTTCATGTGTGCAGCTTGATTTCGTGAGATCTGCACCTGTTGGAGAGGTGGCAGTGGGAGAAAGGGTGAGCAGTGCTCTGATAATGAAAATGAGACATAATCTGTAGAATGCCTTTTTACATGTCTCACAATAAATGATGCCAAGGTGATATCTAGGAGTGAAGGCTTTTGGCTTTGTAGTTTTATTCTGAAGGCTTATTGTAGCCAGGGAAGTATGCACTTTGAAGGGAGAGACAAGGGTTATGTGTGGTCAGGACTTTCACAGAGTAGCACCAGGATGAAGAGTAGGAAGTAATTTCCCATGTCCCCGCATCTGTCCCTATGTGCTATGAGCTTGGAAAAGTTAACCTCTCCCTCTAGACCATGAGCACTGAAGAGGGGTGGCTATTTTGGTGCTTGTAAAGAGGAAGAGGCAAGGGTGTTGCCTGCATAAGTTAAAATAAGGGAAGTTAGACTAACGCTGAGGCAAGAGCTTTCCCTGTCTTTAGGGTAGATCTCAAGGGAAGAGACCTTCTTGGAAATCTAGGAGCTGCATGACCCTTGAAATTTCAGAACCCACTCATATTTTGATTGAACTATGGGTGACATTTGGACTAGGTTTACTTTGGATAACCATGGATTTCCAGTTTCTTCAAGGACCAAATGCAACTTGGGTACTACCAAGCCCAGAGGGATCATCTCTAGCCTGTGACTCTTAGCATTCCTCCATGTCTCCTCTGATTTTACATTTGAGTTGCATGTCCCAGGTCCCCATACAGTGGCAGGCTCACCTGTAAGAACCTCCTTCTATGTTATGTGGACTAGAAGTCCCATTCCCAGCTGCCAGCTCTGCTTACATTAGGTTATGAATCCAGAAATATCAGGTTCTCATTTATCAAGTCCCTTACCTGACATCAGAGTTTCTCTCAGACTTCTTAAATTTAAGTACAATAGTTCTAAGGAGCGTTGGAGGGTATTCTGATACACGGAGGGTGTGATTGATGAGCCTGGAAATGATGAAGAAAGGTTCATGAGAAGAAACAGTGGTTGTGTTTGTCAGAGGGGCAACAGTGGGAATCAGGGTCAAGGCAGGGGTCCTATCTGCTTACCCTCATATTCTTCTCCTCAGCCTCTTACAGGTAAGGCACAGCCCTCTACTGGGACCCTGTCATTCACACACCTATTCTAGTACTCTAGTACTTTGTGTGACTCGCCATTCCTCTCTGAGCCTCAGCTTCCTCATGTGGGTCCCACAGGGATAGGTAGCATCTTACTGTATAGTTCAGGATTGCCTTGAGGTCAGGTTCTTCCTGCACTAATTTCATTGGTTCTGATACATTAGGAATATATCCAGGACTAATAAGCATTCTTATTTTTATGGACTTATGCCATTAGACAGAAAGATTCTGAGAAACTTCTCGGGGACTTATGTACATATTTCAAGCAATAGCTCACAGTTACTAAGTGGCACCTTAGGGAGGAAGGTGAGAGTCTTTAAAACACAGTTTTATTACGCAGTGAAATTTGAGCATGGAACTTTGGGAAGGAGTGGAATTATTTTAATGGAAGAATGTGAATGAGGAGAATAGTGACAAAAATGAGAGAAGAAGCCTTTTGATAGTATAGGAGCAAGATTTTGTGGCGAGACACGAACAATCTAATCTCCACCAAAATATCATCCCTGGAGTCTTCCCTAAGCCCCAAGTGCAAGGATCTTCTTGTGTTCAGCTTCAATATGTGAGATCTGCTCATGCTGGAGAGGTGGCATCAGAACAAAGGCTGAGCAGTGTGAATGCTCAGATAATGAAACAGAGATACTATCTCTGGAATGGCCTTTTCTAAGACACACATTAAATGATGTCAAGGTCACAACTAGGGGTGATGGCTTTTGAATCTGTTGTCTCCATACTTAAGCCTTGCTGTGTGAGATGATTCAGAATCAATTTTGAAGTTAATACAAGATGTGGGCAGGACTCTCAGAGAGCAGCAGCAGGATGAAGGCTGAGAAAATCTTTCCTCAGACTCCCACTGTTCTAGATTCCAGGCCTGCATGTATCTCTGTATGCTGGGAGCTTGGACAAGTTAACCTCTCTCTCTAAACCTTGTGCACCGGAGAAAGGTGGTGACTTTGATGCTTGAGAAGAGGAAGAGGACATGTGTGGCCTGGGTACGTTGAGATAAAGAAAGTCAGACTGAAGCTGCTGGAGACAGGAACCTTCTTTCTCCCTGGGGTCCATCTCAAGGGAATAGACCATTTGGGAACTTCAGGACCTGCATGATCCCTGACATTTCAGAACCCACTTATGCTCTGCACTGAACTCTGGGTGCCCTTTGGACTGTGCTCACGTCTGTCCCCCATGGGTTCTAGGTTCTTCATGTGTCATGTGTAAACTATAGAACTGCCAGGCCCAGTCGGGTCATTTCTAGCCTGTTTTCTTGTGTGTGACTTAAAAGTTGCATTCCTTCGTGTCTCCTCTGATCTTCCATTTTAGTTGTGTCTCCCAGATCCCCATACAGGTGGAGGCTCACCTGTGAAGAGCCACCATCTTTGTGGACTAGAATTCCATTCCCAGCTGCCAGCTTGGTTTAAGTTTAATTCTGAATCCAGACTCCTCAGTTCCCATTAAACAAGCACCTTACCTAACATCAGAATTTCTCTCAGATTTTCAAGCATTGAGCTCAGTAGTTGTAAGGAGTCTTGGATGGTAGTTGGATCCATGTAGCGTGTTATTGTTGAACCTGGAAAAGATGAAGAAAGGGACCATTGGAAGAGACAGTGGTTGTGTGATTGTCATAGTATCAGCAGTAGGCTTCAGGGAAATAAGAGTGAAGTTCTTACAAGCTTACCCTCATACCCTTCTCCAGTCTCATGGAAAGAATGATGATCTTTTAGGTGATGCAGGGACATGGTCCTGTCCTGCATGCAACCATGAAGCTTATACACCAATGCTAGTCTACTCTAGTCCATTGTGTAAGTCTCCATTCCTCTCTGAGCCTTAACTCCCTCATGTGAATCTCTAACTTCATGTCACACAGGGGTAAGTAGCACCTTACTGTCTACTTTAGATTTGCCTGAAGCTCAGATTTTTCTCTGCATTAATTTCATTGGTTGTGATACTTTAGGAATATGCCCAGGACTGGTTACTAATGTTAGTTTTGAAGTCTTATGATTAGTTCTTAGTGTTTGATTCAAAACTTCAAGGTATGTATAGCATCCATCAGGCAGAAATGTTCTGAGAATCTTCATGGGAACTGAGGTGCCTTTTCCCAAAAATAGCTGACAGTTTCTAAGTGGCATCTTAGGGTGGAATGTGAGAGTCTTTAAAAAACAGTTTTGATACACAATGAAAATAAGCATGGAAGATCTGGATGTAGTGGAATTATTTTAATGGAATAAGTTGAAAGATGGGAACAGTAAGTCAAAAATGAGAGAAGGAACCTGTTTTTAGCATAGGAGCTTTGTGGCAGGAGAGACATGAACAGTCTAATGGGTTGCCAGACAATCAGTGGAGTCTTCCCTAAGCCCCATGTGCAAGAGCCTTCTTGTGTGCAGCCTGAAGATGTAAATCTGCACCTGTTGAGGAGGTGGCAGCAGAACAAAGGGTGAGAAGCATCAGTGATAAGATATTGAAACTGAGACACCATCTGTTCCATGGCTTTTTCGTGATAGACATTAGATGGTGCCAAGGTATCAATGAAGGGCAATGACTTTAGACTCTGCAGTCTTCATTCTCAAAGCTTATGGTGGGGGAAGAATGGACTTTGAGGGGAGAGAAAACCGTTAGGTGTTTGCAGGACTTTCACAGAGTAGAAGCAGGATGAATGTGGAAGAAATTCTCCCCCAGGTTCCTATTTTTCTGTATTTCAGGCCTGCATGTGTCACTATGTGCTGTGAGCCTGAACAAGTTAACTTCTCTTTCAAGACATTGTGCACTGAAGAGAGTTGGCTACTTTGATGTCTGAGAAAGGGAAGAAGCAATGGTGCTGCCTGATAAGTTGGAATAAGGGAAGTCAGGCTCAAGCTGAGCCCGGAGCCTTCCTTCTACTTGGGAGTCCACCTCAAGGGAAGAGAACTTTTTGGAACTTCAAGAGCTGCATGACTCTGAGATTCCAGAACCCACTCAAATTTTGAACTGATCCCTGGGTTCTATTTGGGCTAGCCTCACTGTTGACCACCACAGGTTCCAGTTTCTTCATGTGTCAAATGCAACTTAAGCACTACAGGTCCCAAGAGGATGTTGCTAGCCTGTGATTCTTAGCATTCTTCCATGTCTCCTTTGACCTTTCATTTTAGTTACCTGCCCCAGGCCTCCATACAGGTGGAGGCTCACCTGTGAAGAACCACCATCTATGTGGCCTAGAATTCTCATTCTCAGCTTCCAGCTTAGCTTACATTTAGTTCTGAATACAAATTTGTCAGGTCCCCAATTAACAAGCTTCTTACCTGACATCAGAATTTGTCTCAGCTTTTCAAGCCTTGAGTTCAGTAGTCGTAACGAGCCTTTGATGGTAGTGGGAATCATGTAGCTTGTGAATCCCGAGCCTGGAAACAATGAATAAAGTGCCAAGCAGAGAGGCAATTGTGTGATTGTTAGAGAACAGGGCTAGGATTCGGAGCAGCAGTACTTGGGTCCTTCAAGCTCACCCTTATACCCTTCTCCAGTCTCATGGAGAGAATGATTCTCTTGCACCTGCTTCAGTGACAGGTTCTCACACTGGGACCATGAAGTGCACACACCTATGTTGGTCTACTCTAGTCTTATGTGTGAGTCTCCATTCCTCTCTGAACCTCAGTTTCTTTACGGGGTTTCTAAGCTTATGTGCCACAGAGACAGGTAGCATCTTACTATGTAGTTCAGAACTTGGCTCAAGCTTAGATTCTTCCTGCATTAATTTCACATGTTCAGGATTCATAGGAATATGTCCACTACAAGTCCATAATCATATTTTGAAGGTTTATAATTTTCCTTAGCCTTTATTCTAAAATTTCAAGGTAGATATTAATGTCCATCAGACAGAGCGATTCTGAAAAACTTCTTAGGGACTCAGGCACATATTTCAAGCAATAGCTGACAGGTTTTAAGTGGCATCTTTGAGAGAAAGTTGAGACTGATTAAAACACATTTTTATTACACAATGAAATTTGAACATGGACGTTCTGGATGGAGTGAACTTGTTTTAATGGAACAACTTGGAAGCTGGGAATAGTGAGGAAAAGAAATGAGAGAAGGAATTTTTGGTAGCATAGGAGGAAACTTTTTGAGAAGAGAGATACTTGAACAGTCTAATCTCTGCTACGGTATCATCAGTGGAGTCTTCCCTATGGCCTGTGTGTAAGGATCTACTTATGTGCTGCTTGAAGATGTGAGATCTGCACATACTGGAGAGATGGCATCTGAATGAAGGGTGAGCAATGTGAATGCTCAGATAATGAAATAGAAATACTGTCTCGGGAATGGCCTTTTCCAAGACGCACGTTAAAGGATCCTTAGGTAACAATTGGGGTGATGGCTTTTGACTCTGTAGTCTTCATTCTCAAGCCTTAATTAAGCTTGGGTAAGAATGGACTTTGAATGGAAGGAAAGGTTTTGATGTGGGCAGGACTTTCACAGAGTAGCAGTAGGATAAAGGAAGAGTAACTCATTCCCCAGGCACACATTGGTCTAGATTCTATTCTTCTGTCTGTCATTATAGGCTGTAAACTTGTACAAGTTACCCTCTCTCTCAAGAACTTTTGCACTGGAAGGAACTGCCTACTTTGATGTTTGAGAACAGAAAGAGGCAAGGGTGTTGCCTGCATCAGCTGAAATAAGGGAAGTCAGGCTGGAGCTGAGAGAGCAGCCTACCCTAACCTTGATGCCATCTACAGGAAGAGACCCTCTTAGAACTTCTGGAGTTGCAGCACCCCTGGGATTTCAGAAGCCACTCATACTTTGACCTGAACTCTGGGTGACAGCTGGGCTAGGCTCACTGATGACCCCCATGGGTTACAGATTCTTCATGTGTCAGATGAAAATTCTGCATTGCAGATCCCAGAGGCATCATTTCTAGTCCTGGATGCTTAACATTTTGACATAGCTCCTTTGACCATTGACTTCCCAGGTTCCCATACAGGTAGACTCTAGCCTGTGAAGAACCACCATCTATATGGACTATAAGTCGCATTCCCTGCTGACTGCTCAGTTTATTTTGGGTCTAAATCCAGAGTCATAAGATTCTCAATTAACAAGCCCCTTACCTGACATCAGAATTTGTCTCAGATTTCCAAGGTCTGAGCTCAGTAGTTGTAAGGAGTCCCAGAGGGCAGTGGGATCCACTTTGAGTGTTGTGGATGAGCCTGAAAGATGAAGAAAGAGACAGTGTTTGTGTGATTGTTCAAGAACCAGCAGTTGGAGCCAGGGTAGCAGCTCTGGGATCCTACCCACTTACCCTCATACCCTTTACCACTCTCTCATGGAGAGAATGATGATCTTACTCCTGCTTCAGGGACATGTCCTACATGGAGAACATAAAGTTTATACACCAATGCTGGTCTACTCTGTTACTTTGTGTGAATCTCCATTCTTCTCTGAGATTCAGCTCCCCCATTGTGGGTCTCTGACTTTATGTTGCACAAGGATAGATAGTATCTTATTGTGTAGTTCAGACTTGCCTCAAGATCAGATTATTCCTGCATTAATTTCATACATTCTGGGATTACAGGAATATGTTCAGGGCCAGTTAGTAATCTTATTTTTGATGCCTGTAATTCCTTGATGTTTGATCTAAAACTTCAAGGTGAGTGTATGATCTATAAGACAGAGCAATTCTGAGAGAATTCTAGGGGACTCAGGTACATATTTCAAATAATAGCTGACAGTTACTAAGTGGCATCTCAGGGAGGAAGGTGAGAGTTTTTAAAACACAGTTTTGATACACAATGAAAATGAGCATGGACATCAGGGAAGTAGTGGAACTGTTTTAATAAAACAAGTAGGAAGGTGGAAATAGTGAGGGAAAGGAGTGAGAGAAGGAGCCTGTTGTTAGCATAGGAAAAAGCTTTGTGACAAGAGAGACATGAACAGTCTAATGTGATGCAATTTATCAGTGGAGTCTTCCCTAAGCCCCATGAGCAAGAGCCTTCTTGTGTGCAGCCTGAAGATGTAAATCTTCACCTATTGAAGAGGTGGCAGCAGAACAAAGGGTGAGCAACATCAATACTCAGATAATGAAAATGGGACATAATTTCTGGAATGGCTTTTTATAAGACCAACATTAAATGATGCCAAGGTGACAACTAGGAGTGATGGCATTTTTTAATAATGGCCTTATTGAGCTATGTGATTTTCTGAACTCTCCTCTCTTCCTCTCCCCTCTTTCTCTTCTCTCCCATGGTCTCCATGCTCCCAATTTACTCAGGAGATCTTGTCATTTTCTACTTCTCATGTAGATTATATTTATGTATGTCTCACTTAGGGTCCTCTTTGTTGTCTAGGTTCTCTGGGATTGTGAATTGTATGGTGTTTTTTCTTTGCTTTATGTCTAAAAGTCACTTATGAATGAGTACATATGATGTTTGTCTTTCTGGGTCTGGGTTACCTCACTCAATATGAACTTTTCTAGATCTATCAATTTGCCCACAAATTTTAAGATGTCATTTTTTCCAGCTATGTAGTACTCCATTGTGTAAATGTACCACATTTTCCTTATCCATTCTTCACAAGAGAGGCATTTAGGTTGTTTCCAGATTCTGGCTATGTTATAAACATAGTTAAGCACATGTACTTTTGGTATGATTGATGTTCCCTTGAGTATATACCCAAAAGCGGTATTGCTGGGTCTTAAGGAAGACTGTTTCCCAATTTTCTGAGAAATCGTCATACTGATATCTAAAGAGGCTGTACCAGCTTGCCATCCCACCAGCAATGCAGCAGTGTTCCCTTGAGCCCACATCCTCTCCTTTCTACGTATTGATCATTGCCATTATTACTTGTGTAAGATGGAAGGGGTGACAGCTTTTGACAATGTAGTCTTCAAAGCTTATTGTGGGGAAGGAAGAATGGACTTTGAAGGGGGAGAGAAGGTTAGGTATGGACAGGACTTTCACAGAGTGGTAGCAGGATGAGTGTGGAGGAAGGCTTTTATTGCTCTAGATCTTTTCTCCATGTATCTCTATGTGCTGTGAGCCAGGACAAGTTAACATCTCTTTCCAGACCTAGTTCACTTGAAAGGGTTGGCCTCTTTCATGTTTGAAAAGAGGAAGACACAGGGTGTGGCCTGTATAAGTTGAAATATGGGAAGTCAGGCTGAAGCCAAGGCAGGAGTCTACTGTCTCCCTGGTTCCATAAAAAGGAAGAAACCTTCTTAGAACTTCTGGAGCTGTATTATCCCCAATATTTCAGAACCCACTCATATGTTGAGCTGAACTCTGGGTGACATTTGTGCAAGGCTCACTGCTGACCCCCATGGGTTCCTCTTTCTTCATGTGTCAAGTGCAGCTTCAGCACTGCACAGCCGAGAGACATCATTTCTAGCCTGTGACTCTTTATATTCCTCCATCAGTCTTCTGATTGTTTATTTTAGTTGAGGACCCACACAGGTGGAGGCTCAGCTGTGAAGAACCTCCATCTATGTGGACTAGAAGTCCCAGCATAGCTGCCAGCTCAGATACATTTGGTTCTGAATCCAGACTTCCCATGTTCCTTTAGTGGTATACTATTTGTGTTTTAATAAATAAAGCTTTCCTGAAGATCAGAGTGCAAAGCAGCCATACTAGTTAGATATACAAGCAAGGGAGTGGTGGCACACACCTGTAATTCCAGGACTGGGGAGACAGAGGCAGATGGATCTCTGTTAGTTCAAAGCAACCCTGGGCTACACAAGATAGGATCTGTCTAAATGAGAAAGAGAGCACAGACAAAAGTGATCCCAGCACCAAGGAGGTCGAGGCAGGAGCGATATGACAAGACAGAGAGAGGAATATGAGGGGGAAGAGACAGGAACTCAGTGGACTGTGAAGTCTTCAGGATTCGTGGATACAGGATCTTGCCCATTTCAGTCTGGGTTAAAGGTAAAGGCTAGTGGCTAATTGCTTTGCTTTTCTGATATTCAGGTTGAACCCTAGTATCTGTCTCTTGATTTTTATTATTTGTGTTGCAGGTTCCCTTTTAACAAGCCCCTTACCTGACATCAGAATTTGTCTCAGGTTATTAAGGTTTGAGCTCAGACGTTTCAAGGAGTCTTGAAGGGTAGTTGGATCCACGTAGGGTGTGATTGTTGAACCTGAAAATGATGAAGAAAGTGCAATGGGAAGGGGTAATGGTTGTGTGATTGTCAGAGAAGCAGCAGGAGGAGTCAGGGCAATAAGGCTGGGTCCTACCTCCTTACCCTCATACCCTTCTCCACTCTCTCATGGAGAGAATGATGCTCTTACACCGGATGCAGGGTCACCTTCCTTCACAGGGACCACGGAGTTCACACACTAATGCTGTTCTACTCTATTTTGTGTGAGTCTCCACTTTCCTCTCTAAGCCTCAGCTCCCTCTTGTGGCTCTCTGATTTTATGTCCTGCCAGGATAGGTAGCACCTTACTGTGTAGTTCAGGCTTGCCTCAAGCTCAGATTCTTCTTGCATTAATTTCACAAGTTCTGGGATTATAGGAATATTTTCACAACTAGTTAACAACCTCATTTTTGATGCCTTATTATTTCTTAGTATTTGATCTAAAACTTAAAGTTGGGCATACTGTATTAGAAAGAGTGATTCTGAGAAAATTTTGGGGGGCTTATGTACGTATTTACTATAATAGCTGACAGTTACTAAGTGGCATCCTAGGGAGGAAGATCAGAATGTTTAAAACACAGTTTTGATACACAATGAAACTTGAGCATGGAAGTTAGTGATGGAGAGGAATTATTTGAATAGAATAGCTTAAAAGCTGTGAATAGTTAGAATAAACGAGGAAGGAAGAGACAAGAACATGAGGAAGATTCATTGGGGACAGATACTCAGCTACACAGCAGTCTACAAAGTAATTCGTAAAGAAAGGTAAACTCCCAGAGGCAGTAGATAGACTGGATAATTTACAAAAAGCTGGCTAGAAACAAAAAAACAAACAAAAAAAATGCTAAGGTCAGCCATTTGTAAGTCAGAAAAAGACTGTAGATTTATTTGGGAACTGGGTGGCAGCCCCTGCCAAAGAGCTAAAGAATCAAGAAACAACCTATAACACAGATTCTGACAAATTTCTAGCGGGCTGAAGCACACATTTCAAGCTGTTACTGATGGTTACTTAGTAAGTGGCATCCTTGGGAGGAAAGTGAGAGTCTCTAAAACACAGTTTTGAATCATAATTAAATGCAATTAGAAAGGTCAGGATGGAGGGGAATTATTTTAAATGGAACAGCAGGGAAGTTCTGTGAGACAGGTCTAATCTCTTTCAAAATGTCCTTAGACATAATGACTTTATTCCTATCACACAGTAAGTAAAATCAGTGTGATCATCAAAGGCAAGGGACTTTGACTCTATAGTCAACATTTTCAAAGCTTAATGTGGGGTAAAAATAATGAACTTTAAAATGAAGGACGAGGGTTAGGCAGGACTTCACACTGTAGCACTAGGTTGAAAGAGGTGTCTCCCATTTCCCAGGTACTGAGAGTTCTGGATTGCAGCCCTGTGTCTGTCTCTGTGTGCTTTAAGCTAGGACAAGTTTACTTCTCTCTCTAAACCTTGTGCAATGGATTGAGGAGGCTACTTTCATGCTTGAGAAAAGGAAGCAGCAAGGGTGTGTGTTGTGGCCTAATCCTTTTGTATACTGTAAAGATAAGTTTTTTGCTAAGTCATTTTCTAATTAGTTTAATAAAATTGGTTTAATCAATAAAAGTAAAATAAATAAAGCTGAATGGCCAATAGTCAGGCTGGAAGAGGTTAGGTGGAACTTCCAGGGAGAAAGAAAGAAGAGGAGATGGATCTAGGTGCACGAGAGATGCCAGAGGACACGGGGACAAAGCAGGAGGTTCAAGATGGAAGAGAGGTAAAAAGTAGTGAGGCAAAACAAAGATTAATATAAATTGGTTAATTTAAGTTATAAGATCTAATAGTGTAAGCCCAAGCTATACATTGAGGTTTTATAATTAATAACAAGTCTCCATGTTGTTTTTGGTGAGCTGGTGGTCAAAGGAAAATCTGTCTACAAATATGGCCCCGGTAAAGAGAATGAAGTCAGTAGCAGAAAATGACTGAAGCTGAGGCAGGAGCCTGCCCTCTTCTCTTTGTCCATCCCAAGGAGCAAAACCTTCTTGGGTCATCAGAACCTCCATGACTCCCTTAGATCTTCAGTGCACACACTCGTATTTTGAGCTGAATTCTGGGTGCCAGGTGGGTTAGACTCACTGCTGACCCTCATGGTTTCCAGATTGTTCTTGCGTCAAATGCAACTTCAGCATTGCATAGTATAGTGGAGCCTCTCTAGTCTGTGACCCTTAGCCCTCCACCATGGCTTCACTGTATTTAAGTCCCTTGTTCAGGTCCCCACACAGACGGGTGGTCACTTGTGAAGAACCACTACCTATGTGGACTTTAAGTTCCTTTCACAGCTTCAAGTTTAGTTCATCTTCATTTCTGCACACAGGCTGCTCATGTTCCCCACTGTGAGTGTTACAGAGGCTGATGGCCAAACACAGAGATAGGAGCCAGGGGAACAAACCTGGGGGCCTTACTCCCCACCCCTATAGCCTTCTTCACTGTCACAAGATGCTCTCAGAGTTCCTGATGAGGAAAGATCCTTCTCTGGGACCATGAAGTTCACACATCTGCCCTGGTTCTATATTAGTCCTCTCTGTGAGTCTCTAGTCTTCTCTGTGAGCCTCAGCTCCTTCATGTGGGGCTCTGAGATTCTGTCCCACAGGGTTGCAAACTATAATAATAACAGCAGCTGCAACTGTATTGACTTGTATTGTTTAATAAGTAACGTGGATTATCACTTTACTCCCACAGCCCAAGGAAACAGGTTTTTACCTCCCTCCTGTTTCCTAAATGGAGGGAGTCATGGAGGCTGAGGGCTGTAAAGTGACTTGTCCAGGGTGGTAGAGCCGTGACTGCAGTCTGCCTCTGCCAAGTTTCAGTCTGGGACTGTAACTTAAGTGTCACCAAGCTTTCTTTTTGGGGACTTACTTGAACCCTGAGCTTCTCCCTTTCAGAGCAATCCTGAATGCCAGTCTCTCCCCACTCATGAGGCTTCAGAGTGATCCTTCCCAGGGGCCTGAGAATGCACTCTTGTAGCTGAGGGTGTGGGGCTCTAAGGTTCACTTAGTTCTTTCTGCATGCTTTCTGGTTCCAGGCTGTCCTAGGCCTGTGAATCCTTCTGACAGGTGGTTAGCCTGCCCATGGAAACCCTGGCAGGAGGGCTCAGTGGTGATGGAGGAGTTACAGTAGCAGTGGGTTGGGGTCCTTATTGTACTTACTTTCTGTCGAGTCCTTCTCTGCTGGGGTTTTGGTCTGCTGAGGCTCCGGATTCATCTGCTCCCCCCACTTCTGGGTGGACCCCACGACCTGTTGGCCCTTTTGCTGAGCCTCCTCTGCACCACTTGTCTTCTTGGACTGAACTTCTTCCATGGTGATGATGCTTGTCTGTGCAGCTCTTGCTGGCAGAGCTTTGCTTTTCCCTTTTGTTGTTGCTCAAAACAGGAGGCCAGTGGATCCTGGTCTCTGACAACGGTTTCCGCTCTGGGAAAGGGTGTTTGATCAGAATCCATGAAGAAGATCGGGAAATAAAAGAAAGAGCAGAGCAAGCATTACAGGGATATGGTCCTCTGATCACAACAATGGAACGACTCCAGTCTCTCCTGGGGATGGAGACTGTGTGCCCAGCTGCAGGCATTTGGACTTTATAGGGCAGAAGAAGGGGCTCTGGGAGGAAGGTTTATCAGTGGATTTGTTATTTATGGTTTCTTGAATGGTGTTGGGAGATGTTCTTGGTACTACATTGGCTTTCCTGTCAGGAAAGTTATTCCGAGTTGGGTTTTCATAGCTTGTCTAAGGTTTCTTCTCTTAGGTCATTAAGGTCATTTATCTAACACTGAGGACCCATTAAAAGAAGGAGGTATATTTTCTCATTGCCTGCTTCCAGCAGGAGAGGGGAGGCGGAGCTGGAGCTATGCTCTATTCCTAGGGTTTAAAGGGTGACTTCATGAACCAGGAAAACAGTTTTAACTTATACTGCTGCAGTGGGTTCTGTGATTGCTGTCATTCATTTCCAGAGGAACCTTTAAAAACCGTTAATAGACAGGGCTACAGTCAGTGAGTAAGATGAGACTCAAGAAAGGCGACCCAGTATGTTTGTAGCCAGGGTACCCATTGTTTTAAAGTGGACCTAGTGGCGGCAATGATTTGATCCAGGAGGAACTTGTGTGAAACTTTTAAAGGACAGGGAAAATAGAGAAGGAGGAATGGAGAGATCAAGGGGAGGAGCCAGAGTGTAAGGGAACAAAAGCTCACCCTTAGGAAGATGACTGTCACTGAATCTTTGTCTGGTCCTTAATTAAGTCTGTGGGCCCTCTTAGCTAGGTTTTTTGGGTTTGTTTGTGCAGAATCCGCACTGTTCCTGGAGGACAGCACAATTCCCACCACCAGCAGCTGACAGGAGATCTAGGTCTCTAACTTTGAAGAACCACAGCAGCGAAGACGTGGCCCAGACTAGCCATAAAAACTGATGGATGGCCCTTTGGCCACATAACATCTCCCAGCTCAGCCTGTTCGGGCGCTGGGACCGAATCCAAATTGGGAGGGCAACCGGGAGGGCGGTAGTTCCTTTGTCTCAATAGCCTGCCTGCATCAAGCAAGGTAGGCCCTTTGTGTACGAGCTACCCAAGCAGCACGGAGATCCGATCCAGGCACCAGGAGAGCCATCATTGGGGTGAGTGAGTTTCTGACTAGCAGCAGCAGCCCGGGACAGGGAACTCAGACGTTCCTCATCCCTCCTACACTTCCTGGTCTTCCTGCAGGGGCTATACTGCCTGATACCTTCTCTCTCTTCCTATCACACCCAGCTTGCATCCAGAACCCTCCCCCTTCTGCCTCCCTCCCCTCTTTGGCCACATAACATCTCCCAGCTCAGCCTGTTCGGGCTCTGGGCCCAAATCCAAATTGGGAGGGCAACCGGGAGGGCGGTAGTTCCTTTGTCTCAATAGCCTGCCTGCAGCAAGCAAGGTAGGCCCTTTGTGTATGAGCTACCCAAGCAGCACGGAGATCCGATCTAGGTACCAGGAGAGTCATCACTGGGGAGTGACATCACTGGGAAGGTACATCAGTGGGCAAGAAGACCTGATCCTGTAAAAGAAGATCCATAGGGGACCATTTGGAGGAAGAGATGGGCAGGCACCAATGCAAGAATTCACCCAACAATCTGAAAAACAACATGAAACCACCAGAAGCCAGCGACCTCACAACAGGAGGACATGAACACCTTAATCAAGAAGAAGTAGAAAAAAATGGACTTTATGAAAGTGATAGAGGCCCTTAAACACCATGTAAAAAATGCCCTTATAGAAATGGATAAGAAGTATAACAGAAAGTTTGAAGAATTGAGTAAATCAGTGAATGATACCCAAGGAAACCAAGGAAAAACAATCAAGCAGATAATGGAAACAGTTCAAGACTTGAAAACTGAAATGGAGGGAAGGAAGAAACCACAAACAGAGGGCCGGCTGGACATGGAAAATCTAGGTAAACGAATAGAGACTACAGAAACAAGCATAACCAACAAAATAGAAGAGATAGAAGAAAGAATCTCAGATTCTGAAGATACCATAGAGAAAATCAAAGAAAACAGCAAATCCAACAAACTCTCATCACAAAACATTCAGGAAGTATGGGACACAATAAAAAGACCAAACCTAAGAATAATAGGAGTAGAAGAAGGAGAAGAAGTGCAGCTCAAAGGTCCAGAAAATATATTTAATAAAATTATAGAAGAAAACTTTCCCAATCTGAAGAAAGATATACCTATGAAGGTTCAAGAAGCATACAGAACACCGAATAGACTGGATCAAAAAAAAAATATCCCCTCGCCATATAATTATCAAAACACAAAGCATACAGAATAAAGAAATAATATTAAGAGCTGCAAAGGAAAAGGGTCAAGTTATTTATAAGGGTAAACCTATCAGACTTACACCTGACTTCTCTATGGAAACAATGAAAGCCAGAAGGTCCTGGATAGATGTACTGCAGAAACTAAGAGACCATGGATGCAAGCCCAGACTACTATACCCAGCCAAGCTTTCATTCACTATAGATGGAGAAAACAAAATTTTCCAGGATAAAAACAAATTTAAACAATACGTAGCCAAAAATCCAGCCTTACAGAAAATAATAGAAGGAAAATCACTAACCAAGGAGTCCAACAATGACCACAATAACTCAGACATCTAGAGACCCTTCACCAACACAACCCGAAGAAGGGAAACACACAATCTCTACTACCAAAAAAGTGACTGGAGTTAACAACCACTGGTCATTAATATCACTTAATGTCAATGGTCTCAACTCACCTATAAAAAGGCACAGGATAAGAGATTGGATACGAAAACAGGATCCAACATTCTGCTGTTTCCAAGAAACACACCTCAACCACAAAGATAGGCACCTACTCAGAGTAAAGGGCTGGGAAAAGGCTTATCAAGCAAATGGACCTAAGAAACAAGCAGGTGTGGCCATACTAATTTCTAACAATGTTGACTTAAAACTTAAATCAATCAGAAGAGATGGGGAGGGACATTTTATACTCATATCAGGAACAAGGTCCCATCAAAATTCTTCACAAATCTTGAGAGGATAATAATCAACTTTATATGGAAAAACAAAAAACTCAGGATAGCCAAAACAATCTCATTCAATAAAAGAACTCCTGGAGGCATTAACATCCCTGATTTCAAACTCTATTACAGAGCTACGGTAATGAAAACAGCTTGGTATTGGTATAAAAACAGAGATGTCGACCAATGGAATCGTATAGAAGACCCAGATTTTAATACACAAACCTATGAACACCTCATTTTTGATAAAGGAGCTAAAAGTATACAATGGAAGAAAGAAAGCATCTTCAACAAATGGTGCTGGCACAACTGGATGTCAACCTGCAGAAGAATGAAAATAGACCCATATCTTTCACCAAGCACAAAACTCAAGTCCAAATGGATCAAAGACCTCAATATCAGTCTGAACACACTGAACCTAATAGAAGAGAAAGTGGTAAATACCCTACAACATATGAGCACAGGAGATCGCTTCCTATGTATAACCCCAGCAGCACAGACATTAAGGGCAACATTGAATAAATGGGACCTATTGAAACTGAGAAGCTTCTGTAAAGCAAAGGACACTGTCACTAAGACAAAAAGGCAACCCACTGACTGGGAGAAGATCTTCATCCACCCCGCAATAGACAAAGGTCTGATCTCCAAAATATATAAAGAACTCAAGCAACTAGACTTTAAAATGCTAATTAACCCAATTAAAGAATGGGGCACTGAACTGAACAGAGAATTCTCAACAGAAGAAGTTCAAATTACCAAAATACACTTAAGGTCATGCTCAACTTCCTTAGCGATCAGGGAAATGCAAATCAAAACAACTTTGAGATATCATCTTACCCCTGTTAGAATGGCAAAAATCAAAAGCAACAATGATAGTCTTTGCTGGAGAGGTTGTGGAGTAAGGGGCACACTCATCCATTGCTGGTGGGAATGCAAACTTGTCCAACCACTGTGGAAATCAGTGTTTCGTTTTCTCAGGAAATTCGGGATCAACCTACCCCAGGACCCAGCAATACCAATCTTGGGAATATACCCAAGAGATGCCCTATCATATTACAAAAGCCTTTGTTCAAGTATGTTCATAGCAGTATTATTTGTAATAGCCAGAACCTGGAAACAACCTAGATGTCCTTCAATGGAAGAATGGTTGAAGAAAGTGTGGAATATATACATATTAGAGTAATACTCAGCGGTAAAAAACAATGACTTCTCAAATTTTGCATGCAAATGGATGGAAATAGAAAACACTATCCTGAGTGAGGTGTCCCAGACCCAAAAAGATGAACATGGGATGTACTCACTCATAATTGGTTTCTAGCCATAAATAAACGACATTGAGTCTATAATTTGTGATCCTAAAGAAGCTAAATAAGAAGGTGAACCCAAAGAAAAACATATAGTTACCCTCCTGGTTATGGGAAGTAGACAAGATTGCCGAGCAAAAATTGGGATCTTGGGGGTGGGTTGGGATAGGGGTAAGTGGAGATGGTTAGAGAAATGTGAGAAGGGGAGTATGGGGGGGAACTTGGGGAATTGGGATGGTTGGGATAAAGGAAGGATGGATATGGGAGCAGGGAAGCATATATCTTAATTAAGGGATCCAGCTTAGGGTGGGCAAGAGACCTGAACTTAGAGGGGCTCCCATGTGCCCAGGGTGATGTCCCCAGTTAGTGCCTTGGGCAGCTGAAGATAAGGAACCTGAAATGGCCCTATCCTATAACCACACTGATGAATATCTTGCATATCATCATAGAACCTTCATTGGATGATGGATGGAGATAGAGACAGAAACCCATATTG